GTGTGTGTCTATGTATATATGTATTTATATATATATATATATATATAATAGATACAAGATATATATATGATCTATATATATATATATATTATATTATATATATACTATATATAATATATTTATATATATATATATTATATATATATATATATATATATAAGCAGACCGACAGACGAAGACCTCCGGCATAAGATATATACTGCAGACCACATTTATAGCTATCACGGTAAAGGGTCTTCCAGAGAAATGCGAGAACAATGAGATACAAATAAATGCAGCTTCCCTTGAAATTGAAAAACGTCTTCGATAAATATGCTGAAGTATGCATGAGAAAATGCAACATACCGCATTTGAAAACAATCATTTAACATCTAAACAACTTCATTATGCGAACAAATATATTTCTTTCCTGTTCGATACAATGGAGCTTTATTCTTCTTTCAAATGTGATTCTCGCTTTTAGTTTCAGATCACGGGCTCCCATAAAATGAGATTAATCAAGATAAACTATTTAACGTTTGTATTTCTGTATTATATATATATATATATATATATATATATATATATATATAGATTATATATTTGTGTGTGTTGTATGTCTATATTCATACTTATCTATCTATCTACTATCTATCATGCTATCTATCATCTATCTATCTATCTATCTATAGTATACTATATATATAATATGTATATATAGTATATAATATAATATATATTATATTATATATATATTATATATATCTATATATACATACATATATAGATATAATATATAGTATATTATATATAGTATATATATATATAGATAATAATATATATATATATTATAGATATATATATAGTGTATAGATACATATATCTGTGTTTGTGTGTGTGTGTGAGTGTGTGTGTGTGTGTTGTGTGTGTTTTTGTATAGTTTAATTATAGTTCATAATATATGTATTTATATATAGTTAAAGTATAAAAATATCTATACATGTGTATATGCCACAAACACTCACACACACACACACACACACACACACACACACACCGCACACACACACACACACACACCCCTACACACCACACCACCACACACACACACGCACACACACACACACACACAAACGCACACAACACAAGCCGTACATGTATGTGTTTTCTTCTGTATAAGCTATGTACTCCTGTGCATATGTACACATACACACACACACACACTGAGATATATATATGAAAACAGCAATAATGATAGTAATGGTAATAATGATTATAATAGTAAGGATGTCTGATAATATGGTAATAAACAACAGCATTGGAATGATTTATCTACACAATGATGATAAATAAAAAATAACTAAATAATGGCAATAAAATCACTTCACTGCTACTCCTAATGATAACATAAACAATAATAATAGCATCAACAGAACAATACCAATAATAATAAGCTGTTAATAAAATAACAATACTATCAAATTGGCTGAAGATAATAATAAAATCAAATTAGTATTTAAAAGCATAACAGTAGCAGCCATAAAATTTCTTAAACCGCTAGTAGAAAAGAAAATCTCTCAATCGCGCCAAAACAAAAGGGAAAGTCATTGTACTAATTGTTATGGCTGAAGAAATTTTTCCCTCCTGGTTACACTTCGGAACTGTAGAGCAGACTGTATTACCTGTGGGGATTTTCTTCTGCCCTTCTTCACACAGAGGAATATGTTCTCTTAACAGAAATGTTCAGTTATTTTATTGCTAAGGTTTCATTGTGTGCAGGATTC